TCTGACCAAAATCAGGTTTTTAGAAGCACCCGGGGCCCACGTACAGGCACATGGAAATTTTGGCGCAGAAATCATTAACTCGGGAACGAAAAAACCTAGAAAGCTGGAACTTCAGGGTAACGTTCCCTACTCATGTATGACCAAAAGATTTTAAATTCATTTCCTTAAAACCGTCCCGTAATCATGTAGGGACACGTGAAAATTTTGGTGGGAAAACTGCCAATTCGGGAACGGGATAAGCTTAAAGGCTTTAATTTTAAGGGAATATTCCTACTTATGTACGACTAAAAGATTTCAAATTTAACTCTTCTGGTGTGACTTTTTTTGCGGACCAGCATCCAAGATTTCAAATTTAACTCTTCTGGTGTGGCTTTTTTTGCGGACCAGCACCTTTCCATTTGCCGGTCAAATTTAACTCTTCTGGTGTGGCTTTTTTTGCGGACCAGCACCTTTCCATTTACCGGGTCACCGATCATCTACAACTGACATACCACATAGTTGCACAATTAACTTCTCGAACTTCGAGGGTCAGTATGTTGTAGGGTTAGCTACTGTGATTCCCTGCGATCTTGCTAAGGCACGAGAAGTGCAAAAACGCATAATCGCACCGGCCCGCCTGGTGCGTTACAGCCTGCGTTACGTGTGTATGCGCACTGAGTGTATGCATGCGTACGCGTGTATGCATGTGTATGTGAATTTTTACGTGTGTATGCGCATTTATGTGTATGCACATACTGTATATGTATGAGTGTATGTGTATGTATGCGTATGTATGTGTATATGTGTTTGTATACGTATGTATATGCATGACTGTATGTGTATAGGTGTGCGCATGTGTGTGTATATGTGTGTATGTGCATGTGTGTGCATGTGCGTGTGTAGGTGTATGTGTGTGTCAAGCACTACCACTTCATTGCGAACGGTGCCATTCCTACACAAAACGAGGTATATCACCGACAAACAGAAGACAAAAGCTAATATCAGTTGAAAGGCTTACCATAGGCATATAATGAACCACCTTCTTTGAAACCAAACTGATCAGCTTCTCCTTTCGGCAAATACGGATCCAGCAATTTTAATGCATTCGCCTCATGGCCCTACAAAGACCATGGCTTAGAAATACAAAAAACAAGAAATCCGGGGATATCAGAAATAAAATGACGCTGTTCCGTGCCTTTGTTCCGCTTCCTTCTCCCCTTTCTACCAACATCTTCCCTTTTACCCCGCTCATTTGCGTGAAATGACAAGCATTTTACGAGATGTCGAGCAATCTCGAAAAAATGTGAAAAAAAATTTTTTTTGTGATCAAATATTTATTGCACTTTGTAAAAACAAAGTGTACGTAAAAGACTGCGCGCGCTTTGTAATTGGGCCTTGGCTCAAAAGCTTTAGGACAGTATGGGAGAAGTTAACGGGCGGCTAGCCTGAATAGGAACGGGGTTGCGGTGCGGCCAGGTTGTTGTGCGGTAGTTGAAGTGCGACCGGATCCCGAAAGAAAAGGCTAGGGTGTGGCCGAAGGGTTAAAAGATAGCAAATTTGGAATTTGGTAGCTGATATTTCGAGAAAATTGGAACTCCACTTAGCGACGACTGTAAAGCAGGTTTAATTTGTTGAACTGGAAGTGTTTTGAATAATTTTTTAATAAACACTCTTCCCGTTTAACAGTACGGGGACGTAGTGAAGACGACAAGCAACAGCTGAAACCAAGTTCTGTGGAAAAACGTTATTTTGCGCAATTACGCTCGCAGTGAGAAGATCGCTCGCAAAACCATCTCACCAATATTCACTGAACGAGTTCAGAGATTACCCAACACTGAGATCTCTGGTAAAAAAAAAAAAAATAAAAAATGGTACTTTGTGGATGAGACCAAGTGATGCCACAGCATTGAATTTATTCCAGTTTGTTGCTTTACTGATCCATTCCAAGTTGTCTCTGAAGATAATCATAATGATGATGATGACGAAAATGATGATCATGACAATAACAATAACAGTAATAATAGTAGTAATAATAATAATTTGATGATAACAATGATAATAATAATAACAATATGACGATAATAATGATAACAATAAAATGATAATATTCGATCTACAACGAATCAATTATTTTGAGTGCTGTAACATCGCTCTCGTTTTCGATACGACAAATTCGCCTCCTAGAGTCAAGCCAAGTTAAACTTCAAAAAAAACTGCTCAGTGAAGTACCTACCTCAAGAAGTCATCAGTTGTTGTTCCAAGATGCATTATACCGTTGGCAATAACAGTTGCATTATGTGTCGATGCTGTACGCACACTTTCTTTGGTTTGCTTCAGAATTAGCATATCTGTATGGTTGTTTTTGATCAAAAACTGCATATGATGTTTTATTGTTTGTTCACCGCATAAAATTGATCGTAATCGTTCACAGACAACTTTATCCTGAAAAAAAAAGACAAATTCTTTGGCCGATTTTACAAATTTTTACGCTAACTGTAACAGTATTTTAGGACTGTTCCTCATTCTGCGGGTGGACTTGGGAGCGAAAATTAGTGGCCTCACGTAATTTCTTTTTTTTGGCCTCTCCTTCGCAAGCATTGTAAATTAATTCTTTAATCCTGTTTAATGGTCTTTTTTAAACTATGCATATACCACAGCTCATTTTTGATCAATAAACTTATCATATCGTATTAATAATATTCTTTCTGTTCCTCATTTATTGCGCGTATCATGATATAAATCATAATTCAAACTGATTTATAACCTGATACGCGATAAATGAGGAATTTCATCATTAATCCCATTTTTCAAAACGGTACATTTTACAAAAAACAGCTCGAATAATTTTACGCCAGCTGAATGGTACCCATGCAATATTTAAATGATATCAAGAAGTTTAAAACCAACAACAACAGAAGGGCGTTACGGGCAAGAATGCAATCCAAAATAACGGTTGCATCGTATCGCGTATTATTATTAGCAGCATTTTCTCGCATACTTTTTTCTAATATTATTGCTGAGATGCGTAAAATAACAAAGTTAAGTCAAAATCAGTGATTGGAAAATTGAAAGAATGCATGCTGTAAGGAACAAAAAGTGCCCGCTAATATTTCTCAAGCAGTCCCTGGAAAGATATTGCCTTTTCAAAACTGACTGAAAACAAGAAAAAAAAACTGAAAATAATTTAATTCTCTGGCAAGCTGTATATCACCACTAACAGATCTTCCAAATTTTACTTTATTGAAGCCACCTATGCAAGGTGTGGTACGTTAGAAGATCATCAGGATAAGAAAGGGGCGAAGAGGGCCCACCAACAAATTCTGCAGCAGCAAGAATGTAAATCCAGTTATTCATCATTCAGCCAAATAAATCAACCTAACTGCTTCTTAAGGATCGGACTTGCTGAAATCTCAAAGCCATATGTATGCGGTTTGCTGGAATACACAAATTTCCAGCAGCACTAATCTACTTATATGCGGAATGACTTGTTGGTTCACAGTCTATGCAACTGGCAACTTTTGCTGCTTCAACCAATGCTGCATCGCCTATTGCTAATCCTGAAGATCGCCAAGCAACAACTGTAAAATTTATAAATGATTCAAAAAAAAAAAAATACCTTGATTTTTGATTCTGCACTAGCCGATCCCTGAGCATTATCGGTCGTCGAAGCTGTTTGTGTGGTTCTGACTGCCGCAGCAGTTGCTGTATCAGATGATTTCATGACTTCACTCTTTTTAGACTCACCAGATTCTTGTGCTCCCTCAGTATCGGCTCCAGTCTTCTTCCTGCAGTACCATTCATTATTCATCAGTCAACATCACTATCAGGTTCAACACAATTTAGCAACCATTCACCACCATCTAATTTACTTTTTACTGAAACACTGCAACTTTTACAACGTCCGGTTTCAGCTTGCATCGTAAAATGTCACCTTACTACTTACTTCAAAAGGATGAAAGAGAGTTTGCATTGCAAAATATCACCCTACAAATGACGACTGAGCACAGTCCTACTAATCTATTATTTCGATAATAAATTGCCTTACCCATTGTCTTCTGTTGAACTGGACGAGGATGTAATTTCTTTCACATACTCTTCACTTTTTTGCTCTTCTGAATCTCCGGGCACAGCCGCAACAGCCGTTTCGGTGGATTCTGATTTTAGCGGCGTAGGAACTTTAGCAGTTTCAGCAGGTGTGCTGAAATTTCGGAAGTTATTAAAAAAAAAGGACTTTCGAATGTCACATTTCGTAAAGAGATTTCGAAAATGGTAAAAAACAGAAATAATCAAAAAACGGGAGTGAGGAAAAAATATTTCGAAAACAAGAAAAATTCCGCATTATGATCGGTTATTTTTTTTTAGTCAAACTAGGCGTATGACAAGAATTCATGCCTTTTTTGATGAATAAATGTACCGTATCGTATCGCAGGGATACAGTAAAACGGTGAGAGTACGAAAATCAGGAAAACAGAAAATGTAAGACGGGGAAAATAAGAAAGCGAAAACTAATATCTTCATTACTAGGAAAAAAGTTAAATGGCCAGCGTACCGACTGCCAGCGCGAAGATGCGTTTTTTGCATAGTTCCTCGCAGGTTTCTGACGCTAACGGCACGGTTTTTTCTGCAGATGCTTCTAGCTAAACGAATTAAAACTGGCCACCAGGACTGTCAGGAAACATCCCTTTAAAACTTTAGTTTTCCAGATTTCCTGGTTCCTGAGTTAGCAACTCACCCGTAAAAAAATTCACGGGCCCGTACTTAGGAATCATGCACATCCGGAGCTGGGTTTGGACTCATTAATACCTACGTGGACGGGGACATTCCCTCAAAATTCCAGTCTTCTAGCTTCTCAGATCCTTGAGTTAGCGATTTACCCGAAAAAAAACTTTCACGGGCCCGTACTTGGGAACCACGCAAAAACGGGGGCTGGGCTTGAGTTCATTAATACCTATATGGATGGGGAACAAATCGTCAAAATCTCAGTTTTCTAGC